TACCTGGGAGCTTTTTAAAAATGGAGGTCCCTGGCCTCTGGCCCATACGCACTAAATCAGAACTGTTGGGGGGTGATTCTATGAATCTAGATCTTTAACAGGTTCCTCAGGGATTCTTATGCTCTGAAGTTTGGATATTTCTGCCTCGAACTCACCTAATTATGTGAGTCTAATTATGGGTAGAGTCATGTTTAAGGTCCCAGATATTGAGGATGAAGACCTAAGAAAGATTAATAGGAATGTGATATTTTTTAACCCCAGAAAGATGGACGTTCTGAGGACAGGGCTGAACAGAGGGCTGATTATTAAGTAGCCAACTATATTTACTCTAAAGATGTAAATGAAAATCCTTGTATTCCTGAGGCCATACTTAATAAACAGAGACAGGAGAAAGAAATCCCCAACCCAGGTTCTTTCTGGGATGCAGTACTGACCACCCCCAGCATTTACATCTTATCAGTTACCTATTGCCACAATCATGCTGTATAACACACAGCCACAGAACCTCTATAGTGCTCAGTAAGAGATCATGAGTTTTGGGGCACCCAGGTGGCTTGGTTGGTCAAACATCTGACTTCGGCTTGGATCATGATCTTGGGGTCCTGGGATCAAGCCCCGTGTGGGACTTCATACTCAGCGAGGAGTCTGCTTCTCCCTCTCCCTCTTCCCCTCCCCCTGCACACCCCCCCCCAATAATTTTTTTTTTAATCTTAAAAAAAAGGAATGAATGAGTTTTGCTCGTGCATCTGGGTTGTCTGGGAGAGTCTGCTGATCTAAACTGGGCTCAGTGAGTCAACAGTCAGCTGTAGGTAAGCTAATGACTTACTGATCTTGGGTGGGTTTCTCCACCCAGGGCCTTGGCCAGAGTGATTGAAACAACTCAGCTTGCTGCAGGCCTCTCATCCTCTGCCAGGCTGGCCCCAGACATGGCAGGACCCTGAGACAGAGCAGAGGCAAGCAAGATCTCTTAGAACCCAAGTCTGCAGTTTGTACCATGTCACTTCTGCCACAATTGGCTAAGTCAAGCCACCAGATGAACCCAGATTCAAGAGAAATAGACTCTGCAAACAAGTCTAGACTGCCTAGCTAGAAGGCATAAAGTTCTAACAGCTGTCAGATTGGGCCTGGGTATCAGGAGAGCCTTGCATGGGAAGGGAAGGCCTCTCATGGCCACGGTGCACTCCCAGGATCTTATACTTTACCCACGAAAGCCTGGTGTACACCCCCAGTGGGGATGTGCCAAAGTACTCTGGAGATTATTCCAGATAGGCAGAGAACCCCCCAAAGATGGCATTCCCCTTACTTTGCACATCCTGTTTCCACGCGGTCCTGAAATTCTAATCAGGTTCTGGTTGTCAAGGAGATGCCGTGGTTTCAAAGTGGGGCACATCCACGCCTGTGCTCAAGACCTATTGAAAATGGCTTTCAGCTCCCTTTCCAAATAAATAAATGCAAGTATTTTAGTCTAATCTTGACGACCCTGCGTGGTCTGAGCAAATGACCCTTTCCAAATTCATCTTCTAACACAGCCCTCTGCTCATGGCCTGGAGATTTCACGCTGCATTTTTGCTTCCTCTGTCCTCTCTGCCTGAATGTGTTGTTCTTCAACCTCTGCAAATCCAAATCTTAGCAACTCCAGGAGTGCCCAAACCTTTACCGAGAACACCAAACACAATGAAATACCTCTTTACTTGGCATAGAAGAAACAGAATAGCAACTAAAGTTAGACTGGCCTGAGAACCCATCTACCAGCCACTTGTTTGGCCTTAGACAAGTTACTTAATTTTGTTCCACCTACTTTTTTTTTTTTTAACTCTTTAAACAGAGGGCCATCCCCATTTGTAGGGTGACTATAATAAAATGATGTTTTCAAAGTTCCCAACATTTAGAAGATTCTTGATAAATAATGGCTAGTTTTATGACTCCATAAAACTATCAAACCATCCCCTTATTTTTGTCTCTGTTGCCTGATGTGCCACCGCTACCCTCTTCCACCCACACTTCCCCTTTCTTAAAGTTTTTTTTTTTTAATTTTTATTTATTTATGATAGTCACACACACACAGAGAGAGAGGCAGAGACATAGGCAGAGGGAGAAGCAGGCTCCACGCACCAGGAGCCCGACGTGGGACTCGATCCCGGGTCTCCAGGATCGCGCCCTGGGCCAAAGGCAGGCGCTAAACCGCTGCACCACCTAGGGATCCCCACTTCCCCTTTCTTAAGGACAGGGGCCTCTGTCCGCCTTCATCCTGTTATCTGCATTTTCCAGATGAGGAATCAGAGAAACCACAGGATTAGGTAACTTGTTCAAGGACAGATGGCTGGCAATGCTGGTGTTGAGATCTGAATTTATTCCAGGATGGGTTTTTGAAATTCCTATCTTATACTGTCTTATCTTCGCCTGGGGTATCCTGGAAGCAGAGCCAGAGACCCTGGTTTAGGAGATCTGGAGAAAGTGGAGGACGGAGAGGGAGAAGGAAAAGAGGGAAAGGCGATAGAGTTGGACTAGTACTTGATTCTGGGATCTCTGAGTCTCCAGGCCATGGCCTGGCAGACTGAAAGAAGGAAGCATCCATCCTGTCAGTCACTGGCCATGGGTTGGCTGGCAACTTGCAGCACTGCACATGCCCAGTGCAAGGGCAGGGCAAGTCCCTCTGGCATCCTTACTACAAGCACTCGGAGCAGCCCCGGGGCTGGAGGCCAGATGTCAGCAGTCTAGGGCCACCAGATGTGCTTCCCCAGGGAACCTGGCCAATGCCTGCATGAAACTGGCTGCAGCAGCAGGGCAGGAGGGAGTCAGCAGGGGGCTACCGTGATTGTGCAGTGGTGTAGAAGAGGGGTTCACTACTGCCTCTGAGCAAGCAAACAAGCGAGTCAGCGGGTGGTGGAAAGTTCCACCAGGAGGACCAGGCTCCTCTTCCTAAATTTCACCTTGATATGAAGACGAAGCATGTGTTAACATTCATTTGAGGAGCAGGCTGGTGCAAGAGGGGATATGAAGTCTTCTCTCAGCTGTCTTTCAAAGAGTTCTATGGAAAAGTTTGGCTCACTTGTGCTTTGAAACATGTTAAGGATGTGAGATTGGGGAGAAGAGACATTCTCTGGCACTAGCTGTACTCAACCCAGAGTGAGAGAGTTATTTATGTGCATTAGAAACTATGACTTTGAACAAACAAACAAAAGCAAAAAGAAAGGAACTATGACTTTGAATTGGTAACTACCACCATAGAATAGAATGGTGCTAAAAACAGAAATGCAATACAGTTTTAAGCTTTCCGGAGTCGTCTTTATAATCAGGTTTGTTCTCTTGAGAGAAATTCTTAGCCTTTACATTTACAGGTACTGGTTGGATATAATTGTCTGGGAACCTTCCCCTCCAGGACCATCTTTTAGATCAAAGCACCTCTTCCTGACTGGAGGGGGAAAAAAAAACTCAATGTTTTTAAAACTAAAAAAGTTGCAAGTTAGCCAGAGAGGAAGGTTATCTAACCTCTTGTTTGGAGCAGGGACTGTCCTTTCACTTTTTTAAGTAAAATGTCATGTTGATAGCATTTACATCATCACTCAAGAGACAGGCTGAATAAAGGTAGGGAAGTTCAGTAGAGGAAGTGGTATTAGACAGACTGGAGTTCAAACCCTCACTGTGCCGATTCCAGGTGCCAACACTTGGGCAAGGAAAGCTCTCTTGAGACTCAACTTACTCATCTGTAAAATGGGGTAACGATTCTTTCCAAAGTTATCCTGAGGAGTACATGAGATCATGCGTGTGGAAGGACCAAGCAGACACATAAACATGGCCTTTTATTTTCCTTTTAAAAATGGTTCAACATCGTTAATGAATTCCCAGGGAACCAGCATCAAAAAGGAGGATTCTGAATTGGGGGAACGTCTTGAGGAAGGGCCAGGCTGCTGAGTTGGCAGGATGTGTCTCCTTTTTCTCTCCCAGACATTGCACATTATCGAGTCAGACTCTAATCAGGAAGGAGCTGGTTTCTGCCCACCCTGTGGGACAGCTGGACGTGCAGCATGAAGGGAGAGGCTCTTGCCTTTTTTTTTTTTTTTAAGATTTTTAAAATTTATTTGTTCATGAAAGACAGAGAAAGAGAGAGAGGCAGAGACACAGGCAAAGGGAGAAGCAGGCTCCATGCAAGGAGCCCGATGTGGGACTCGATCCTGGGACTCCAGGATCATGCCCTGGGCCAAAGGCAGGTGCTAAACCGCTGAGCCACTCAGGGATCCCCCAGGCTCTTGCCTTTGATATGCATTTTTAGGTCACCAGCATGAACCGAAATGAGGAGTTCCCTTGGAAAACCTTGCATGAGAGGCTTTACACATCCTCTGCAGCTTTCCAGTAGCCGCTCTGATGTATCTACTCACACCTTACTATCACTGCCCATTCCAGGTGTGTATCCTGCCTTCCCCATCTGTTCTCCTTCCCACCTCTTTATTTCAATTAGCAACAATGCTGTTGTTGGGCTTTCTCATTCAGCCATTCGAATCCGCCACTTTTCTGTATATTTCAAATGTAACATGATTACATTTCACCTCATTCTCAAACAGACATGTCAAGAAGGTATTCTGCTCCTCCGATTGTGGGGCGGAAACCAAGGTTCACAGAGATGAAGTTACTTCCAAGTTTTTGAAGCTGGGCTCCCACCCCAGGGTCAATGCCCCTTTCCCGTTCCCTGCCTTGGCTAACAAGAGACAATCGTGAAAGGCACATTCCTCTTACGGCGATCACGATGGCCATTTAAAAAGGTAACAATAATTATGTATTTGGCACCACTTACATTATTGCAATATTCCACTAATGCGGTTATCAAGTGATTGTGAGAAACGTCACCAAAAAACCGTGGGTCAGGAATAAAGGGGGGAAAAAAAAAAAGACTTACAATTCTGATGTCTTTCCGAAAGCACATCTCAATCATGGTGCAGAAACGAACTTAGGCGAGAATGCTACTCCAACGTAAATATACACACATAAAAAGCAAATAATTGGGGTTCAGTTTTGCCAATTTTATTGAACCAATAAAATTCCTACTAATAACAACGAAATAAATTTCTGCAAGTATAAATGTGATACAGTTTAACAAAACCCATTGTTCTGTACCTATAAATAGATTTTCAAAATGTCATAAAAAGTGCAGTTATGAATTGTTAACATGTTTAATACACAGTTCCTTTATTTCAAATGTGTTTGTCTTGACCCACTAACAGTTCCTTCTGCATCTCTTCAAATAATATTACCCATCCCTCCAAAAAAAAAAAAAAAAGCCATTAAAGCACTAGAATATTACACATAAACTGATCCATTCAGGTCAGCTTTAGTCAGAATTGTAAAATCGGCAACATAAGAAAAAAATAAAACCTACTTATACATACAAAAAAGCTTTCATGGGTTCTATAATCTCCTTAACTGCTGACTCCCATGGAGGGCATAATAGTTGAAAAGGCTTATATGGTTAACTACCTTAGACTACTACATCTAGAGCAGGGTCCGGTTTGCCAGCACAAGTTTAAAGTGGCTGTTTATCAAGTCTGCTATTTTCAGAATTGAAACTATAAATATAGGACTGCCATTTGACGCCGAAAACTGTGTGAATCCTAAATTGCATCAATGATCTATTTGATAAAAGCTTATTCTAATTGAAAACCTTATATAGTAAGAGACTGATATATATAGCAGTCTTAAAGATCATGTCATCTGCCTCACATTAGTCCAAAGTCACGTGCTTCGTAAAAAAAAATTACAGTAACAAAACACAGGACTACAAAGGCAAAACATCACAGCTTCTGATTACATTGAATAAAAAGTACCAAGGAACGCAAAAGATAAATCTGTATTAATACTGATGAATTAAAGAACTATAATAGACATTTCACAGCATGCTACATATATCGCTCACAACTGAAGAATAAAATGATGTCTAAAATTGAAAGTAAGAAGTTGGCAATCTGATTTCATGTGCAATTCAGCTACAAAGTCTTAATATATACATTCATTATGTAGCTGCCCTGCAAAATCAGGATATTTTTTTTTTTAAAAAGAGATTTCAAGTTCAAATCCTATTTCATAAGCTAAAGGATACATCCAGTTCTTCCATGACCAGGAAAGTTTTCAGGTTTGAAGGAGCTAATCCAAGGAGCAAGGCCATGTTCCGAGTTGACCTGATGGGGTTCTTTTTTACCTCACTCAGATTGTGCATGTGGATGTGACTATTCTATTAGCATGGAGAAGATGCCAAATGGGCTTGGTTTGCTTCCTGTGTCTACCTTGAGTTGAAAAGAGTAGATATGAAGAGAAAGAGGAAGGGAAAAATCGTATTTTCTTTCAGAGAAGATCTGTGGATGCAAAGACAATGCATACTAGAGAGTTTGGATCACTTTCCTTGATGAGCAAGGGTACCACTGAACTCCTGCTTTTTATTTTAGAGAACTAGTGAAATTCAGAAAGGAGAAAACAGTCTCTCAACATCACAAAGGAAACATCTTCCTACCCAACCGATAGATAGGTTTCCTTTATCCCTCCTTTTGATCCTTACTTAGGAGATTTGGAAGTCCGTGGAAAATCTGTAAAGATGGATTAATTTAAGAAAGAGATGGATAGCCACTTTCATTTGCTAAGTGTCATAATGCACACACTCAGCTAATCAGAATTCATGAACAACACTTTAGCATTAAAGACCAGAGTTTCTCTCTCCCTTTGATAATCTTTCTGTGGAAATGATACATTCATTTTTAAGAGGTTCAACTGAGGGGTACAAGAAAAATAGACTGTTTTAGCAAAATTTATATACCAAAAATTATATTTATTATACTTACTAGTGTTTGATGTGGTCCTATCAGCTATAAGTCAAACGGGGTATTTGTTCTAAAGGCTATTTTATAGTATGCCTTTCATTATCTCAAAGATTTCCACAAGCATTGGAAAAAAAATCAGATATTCCTTCTCCCCACCCCACCCCCTTATTTTTCCTTTTTCAATTCTCTGCTTCATAGTGATAAGTCAGAATGAATTTAAAGCTAGAACGAACACTTTGGGACATACGATTTAATAAAAACCATCCCTTCAACATCTTTTATGAAGTCTCATTTCTTAAATGAGACATCAATTCATTCCTGGGCCCCTAAAGCCATTTGACTAGACTCTGCTGTCAGGTTGGGTTGTTCATGAACAGAACGTGAAGCGTTCAGATACCATCACAGGTTGTCATAATCTGTACTTCCACACAGAGTGGTTCATCATCAGGTGGGACAGCCATCGGTAGAGCAACATGCCCCATGTTAGAAATCTGACTAGGGCTGTCATCCCTGAACCACAGAGAGTGCACATTGGCCAGAGTGGAGGGACTACAGTGGTTTCCTCCTTTAGGCACGTGTTCCTTAATGACACAGTCTGGATATGCCTGGAATGCAGCCAGGGGAAGACAAGACTACAAAGTCAATGCATTCCCTTTCCATCCCATAAATACTTTTCTCCCCGCCTGAGAACACAGTAGGAATGGGGGGTAGAAGCTTAATCTGACCCAGGAAAACTTGTCCAAACTCTCATGCGCCCAATTGTGTGGTACTTTATCTATGTTCTGTATTGAGTGGGCTCGTGTGATCTGATGGGACCACAGCAACATCCTTTATACTATGTCCTTCTATTAGAAATGTGTTTCAAGGCCCAAGCAGTAACAAACAATGAAACACCACCCATTTACACGCCAGAAATGTCCTGATCCACTGAAGGGTTACAGATCACTCTGGATTGCTAGAGAATCTTAAATTTACATTCAGATAACTTGGACTAACACCAGTATTTATTTCCTAATATAGATCCAGGTTAGGATGGTAAACTCAATCATGTTAAAGTCCCACTAAATACTAAGTTCTGCATGGTAGAAATAGTTCCATTTCTGTATCATGTATAAATATAAAGACTTCTACTCTGATAGAAGGCAAAAATCTCCTACGATTTATTAAAATATGGAAGTAGCATTATTGGACAACAGAGAGTAAATCCATGAAAAGGCTGGATACTCTGAATTTATAGGCTCTTTGGGGATGAGGTAGAGGACAGCATGATATTTTGGCAGCCAGGAAAGAGTAGAACGGTATGGGATGGACAGGCTTATGCTCAGTGCCGCATAGTATCTGGTAGGGTGTCCAGGGCAAAGGTTAGCCAAAATGTAGCTGGATGGTTGAGGGACTTAGGCGGGGCTGGGATGAAGTCATATTCTTAATGAGTGGAGGAAAAGTAACTCAGAAAAGAGAATGCTGGTGACACTCAGCAGGTGGCTGGTGATGTTTGGTTTGGATTGTGAAAAGGCCTGCAGACCAAGACCGGCTGAGGGAAGTGGGGGACAGTGAGCATGTAGAAGGTTGAGGCACTTGGGGGAAAGAAAGCAGGCAGGAGAGGGTGGATTGAATGCAGGTAGGAACTCCCAGAGGGGAATGTTCCTTTACAACAGGTGTACGATGCTGAGGACTGCCACACTCAGTGTGATGTTCTACGTGTTCTTTGAAAAACTTTTCCTTTCACAGGGCTCTGCCTCTGCCTCTAGGATCCATTTAACCCCAGCTGTTTTTGTTCTAGGTCTCACCTGAGGGGACACTGCTAACTGAGCCCAATTAGCATGGAAAGAAGCTCCACACATGGGGGCATTTAAGTTCTGTTGACTGAGAGGAATACATTCATGTTACAGTACTGTTCTGAGGAAAGACTCCGTAATTTAATTCTCAGTCTCCAGAGGGATACAGTAGGGAAACACAGATGAAGATGATGGCCACCAAGAATAGATTCTGGTGAGGACAAATTAAGTAACTTTGCACTTGATCTGAACTGAGGGGCCACCTGTCTTTCAGGGTGCTGTGGAATTATACTACCCAGAAAATTTCAGATACTGTTCATATAATGTTACTGTTGCATACTTTTTACTCCATGCAAGACCGCCTATTTGCATAAAAGAAGAAAAAGTCTGTTAGATAAAGAGAAGAGTTTAAGGTCTTGCTTTCCAGAGGAATGGTTTTGAATTGTCTTCAAAACACAACACAAAACAAAAACCTCATTTTACTGTCACAGTATAAATCATTTTTAGAACATGCACTGAAATTTATTTTTTCCCCCTGATGAACTGTCTTTAAGAGTTTAAAAGAATCTTACTGTTATCTATGTATGCACTCTGCACTAAAGTGGTGAGCTATTTTTAAGTATAGATCTGTAATTGTTTGCTGATCATTTTATTTTGCATGGGCATAAAAATCTTATATTTTGGATTAAAAAACTCTATAAGGTGGAAAAAGGAAAAAAGCTGCTCTGGAATAATGTTATTTAATCTTCAGAAGAATTTAAGAACTTTAGGAGACTTTATAACACAATTAAAATAGGGGCTCTGGTTCAAATATGGTTTTAATATAAAGCTTCCACTGAGTTTTCTGTTCTAAAACAGCCCTGTGTTGCTCTGCCATAATTAAAGGCCAAGGCCGTGGCCCAGATTCCACATTAGCCATCTTTTATTGTAAAAGTACCCCAGATGGGATGAAGATTCTTCCTGAGACTGAGACAACATGCTTGGTTCAAAAAAGTAAAGAAGGTAATGAGTGGTCTCATCTCAGAAAGCCTCTTTTCTGCTATCACAAGCCCATCTGAGGAGGTCTAATTTGAAGGGCTGAAGGGGGCAGCTGCTGGGCCACTCCCACAGTCAAGCGATCAGCTTACAGAACAGATTCACTTTCTGATAGGAGAGTATTCAGGTATTTCCTAAGGTGATCTGGGAAATTATGAATTACAACCAAAGCTGGTAAGTAAACAGATATCAATCAAGCATATACATCAGTGGGTTATTAGATTAATTTTAACATGATAAGCAATGAAGTTAGAGAATTCACATTCACATGTGCTTTTTTTCCCAAGTACACTTGCACATTTAAAGTTTGGCACAATGTGAGCTCCAAGGTGTAGGTCAGCATATTGTATAATCATGTCGTTATACCAATTGAACCAGATATCTCTTTTAAAAATATCACATTTTAATATAAAAAGCTATACTATAAATTACTACATAGTAAATTCAATACTCTGAAAAAATACCACCCTGGAAAACCACATCAGAATTTCAAGTTTGCATTAGAGAACGTTCCCAGCAAACTTGCTGCAAAATGATATTCACACCCTGGAATGCTGTGCATGCCGTAGCTCAGGTGCTCTAGCACCTCCGCAAGTCAATTTTTCTTAGCTGGTTCACTGAGGTTCATAAATATATTGTTTTGTCTTTGTTTAAAGTTCCAAGTCGACTTGTGTTCCTGATTACTGATGAGATAGATCAATGCTGAGCTAAAAAGAAACTTTGATAGAAAAGAGATCTAGGAAAGGCACTAATATTTCCAAAACCCAAACTCAAACTACTTACATTTCTGGGGTAAAAAAAATAAAAGACAAAAACTAAGTGGCCATTTTAGTTACTTACACCTTGTTTCCCCTTTTGGTCTAAAGCTCATATGGTGTTCTATGAGAATTTCTCCTCCTTTTCCATTTATAAAGATTCCATTCATTTTTAATCCTGTAATACAGGTCACCTGCACAACAATATAGGGCTAGTAACTGAAAGGGTTGTAGGAAATAACATGCCCTCCCACCCCCCGCCAAATATCAAGAATAAAAGATAACCTCAACTTGAAAGTTCTAAGGTTAGGGAAGTCAAATTAACATTTATGCTATCATCCATGTTTTGTCATTTTCCTACTTTCCTTGCAGTTAATATCATCCATATAATGGGATGCCAAATAAAATCAACATATGGTATATGCAATTAAACAGAAGAGATCTGGCAAGAATTCTCTGAATAGTATCTTTAAATAAACCACCCTGTCTTAAAAAATATTAGTAATTTTTTCCTCGCATGGAAGATTTCAAACAAGATTCTGGTCTCTAAAAATGCAGAACCACCTCATGTTAGTAGGTTTACAGTCATCTTTGTTTTCTTATCTGAAATCAAATCTAAAAGAAAGCAACCTAACATGTTGTACCAGAAAAGAATGATGAATGCAAGGGCAAAATGATCTAAAAAAACACTCATCCACGACTCTTTCATGGGAGAAAATTCCTATATAACAAGTAAGGAAGTAAGTCTAAGATGAAATCTTTGTGGGAACTCTAATGGAGAATTTTGATGATATTATTTACTATGAAAAAAATGGAGCGGTTTTTAAAAAATTAGCATGTTTGTGTACAAGTCACCCTTAATTAACCAAAAAAGTGTTTAAGCAGTGCAGTCGTGTCCTACTGGATAGCTGTAAGCATCTCTTAGGCACTTCACTGGTTCATTAACACAATACAAATTAAAGCTATAAACACATAATGTTGTGCTCTGTGAAGATAGTCTAATCAAGCAACATAAACCAATGCGAAAATGTGACTTTTTGGATGCTTATTCCTCCCCTAAGACTTGATATCTTTTTAAACCAGTTGTCCAAAGAGATTTTTTTTTTTTTCCTGGGGAAGGGGGTGCTTTGGCATTAGGAAAATAATATTGTTCAACCCCAGTAAGGCAAAAGCCTTGAGTGCGATAAAGAAATTGGAACCAAATTTCTTTATGGCTCTGTTCAAAAGGACACTTCTGCAATGACATAATGGGGGGAAAGTTCAGCAGAGTATTTTTTCCCAACATATTGCACTTTTTTTGTTGTTGTTGCTGTTCAATCACATTAATGCATAGAAACACAATTTTTTACCTTTGAGTATTCAACTGTTCAACCCATTGTAAGAAAAACCACAGGAAAGAAGTTCTAAAAGCCTATCAGGAAAAAATACAAGTCTATTAACCTTCCTCTGCTTACTGCAATATAGAAAACACTATGAGAAAAGAAAAATGTGCAAAGAAACTTTTTGGTCAATCTTGTGTGGGGACAAGTTTGTATGTGCCAACTGAATGAATTGTGAGCAGCTCTGTGAGCACTGATTATTTCGGTGACTGAGGATGGCTGTCAGTGATAGAAAGGATTGTGCATAATTCCACTTTTAATATATACATCTGATATGGAAAACGGAAACTTCCTTTTTCAGAAGAGAAAGAAAACAGCTGAATTTGGCATTTCAGTAGCATGCTATAGAATTCATCATGATTAATTTCACATTAAATTATGGACAATGGCTGTATCACATTTCACGTTATCGCCAATAGCAGTTAAAAACAAAAACAAAAACAAACAAACAAGAAAAACCACAAACAGTGCCTGACAAATTATCTCCTGGGGACACAGATAATGTGTCCTGTGAGCAGCTTAGTTCAAAAGCGCATGCTTTTCCTCCACCAGATTTAGGACACAACATTAAAAGTTTAGAATGGCCAGAGGAGGCCATTCTGTGCTGAATTCCAATATCTGAAAAACAATTGCTTGAGCAGATTGTAAGCGCTTTTCCTTATTAAAAAAAAAAAAAAAAAAAAAGGAAAGAATACAACATACATACAAACCCAAAAGCGCTGAAGTTAAGCATTAATAAACCAGGTTCATGATTTATGATCAGTATCCCAAAATCCAACTATAAAACAATGCAAAGTAGTGCTCCTCAGTATTATTTTTGCTATTGTTAGTAATGTTAAGCATCAAGAAAAAGAAAACACATCATTGCACATGACAGCCGCCGAAAAGAACGGCTAAACTTTGACATTAGAGAATTGAATAATGTTTGATGCTACATCACAAACAGCTTCTGATGTATATCTTGTGTGAAAAAAGGCTTTACACACATATGACATTTTCGCTGGCTGACGATGCTTCAGGTCAAATGCCGAGTTATGGCACGAAGGGCATAAAGGAGTTCAGCTTGCATCCGTGCTTCCATTAAAAGTAGATTTACATGAACCTAGAAATAAAAATGTTCATCTCCTTAGTGACCACTGTAAACAGCTGCCAAAACTTTTTTTTTTTTTTTTTTTTTTACATATGGGACATTCACACAGGTTCATCAGGTTTATACAGACACAAGTACAGACATGGACATGTCTGCGCAGACATGTCTAGGCATATTGATGCAGGTAAATGATGTAAGGGCTCATTTGCAAAACTGTTTGTAATCAAGAAATGTCTCTCATGAGCAGGAAAAATGACCTCCAAAAGCCTTGTGAGATACCAACCATTATGTCAAGATGTACATTATGTAATCAAGCTTCTGGATTATGATATAACTGTTTTAAAATATTTTTATAAATGACAACTTGCCTGCAAGTTATACTTGCTTCCAGTTGTAAAATCTTACATGACTAAAAATCAGCTCGACATTTCTTAGTGTCTATGTTCATTCCTTGGGAAGCTTTTAAAAACGTTTCTTACTGTGGACTTGAAAGATACTCAGGTGAAAACCTGAAGCTGAAAGCAGTCTGTAATCAGTGTCTGGTCCTTATTACTTCTGCACAGCTTCCCTGGAATCTTTCAGAAATAACTGAACAAGCTTCTGAGTTTTGAGGGAGATACACCCCAGCTGATGGGTTAAAATTAATACCTACATATTTTTGAAATTCACTACAAAGAAATGTATTTTGAAATTATATGTATTTTGAAAACATTCTACAGGTTAGATATACTGTTAGATATATTCCCTAGATGAGTAAAGAAAATTTCTAGATACAACCCATTAAAGGAAGAAAATCTAATGCAAACATATAAACAGGGCATAAAGATCCATTGAGAAGAGATGCTGGCAGTAAAATGGGTTATTTATCTGATGTGTGACTGGCTCTAAGACTTCAAGAAATCAGTTAGGTTTAGGCCATAACATTCTCTGCCAAGGTCTTAGAATTAATTAGAGATTTTTTTACTCTCAAAAGCTTGTAAAGTGGTAAAAAAATGGAAGATTCTTGGACTTACTTGTCAAAAAGACCTAGGATTTATGGGTAGTTCTTACGTTATAATGTTGGTAAAGATCCTTAACATTTATTAGGTCTTAAATGATTCCTATATATTTCATCCAAGAAATATTCTTTTATAATGGTACATACACACTTGGCTTAAACATCACACATTGTATTGTCAAAATAGTCAATTACCAAATTGGAATGAGAAACTGTTGTTCTAGTAGGTTAACTCTAATGGCTAGTTACTCCCTAAATGGAGATACCTTCTAGGCCTGGGACAATCACACCTAATACATCTTGGTAGGTTTGATTTTTATTATCATTAGAACATTAGACATTTTCCTAAAGGTACTTTAAAAATATCCATATCCAGCCTTTCAAAGGCTGATGCTACATACTTACTATACACACCACGTTGGCCAAAACATATAACCAAAATTTATAGTTAATACTCAATAGACTGGAATTTTAACATCTTTTTAAAAGATGGCCAGATGATACCACTTCCTTTTCTTTAATGGCACTCATTTATTAGTATTTCCTGTGTAATTTGCAGGATCGTTATTAATTACATTGGAATGTACCTAAGGTGTCTGTAACATCATCATGAAACACACCTTTTCTGAGTGCTTGAACTGACGCCAGTAACTATCATACATGCGCTTGGTGGTTCTTTCAGGATAGCAGGTCACTGTCTTAATGTAAACCTTCAGGCTTCGTTCAAGTAATTGATTAACTTCTCCGTAATCATAGTCATCATACCTATGAGCAAAATGACAACATTTTTAAAATGACAAAGTCAAAATTTCTGATTTTTTAAATCTTATTTGAGAAAGAAAGAGAGAGCACAAGCAGGGGGAAGGGGCAGAGGGAGAGGGAGAAGCAGACTCCCTTCTGAGCAGGGAGTCCAATGCAGGGCTCGATCCCAGGACCCCAGAATTATGACCAGAGCTGAAGGCAGACGCTTAATTGACTGAGCCACCCAGGTGCCCCCCAAATTTCTGATTTCTAAGTTTATATCAAGAGATGTTTATTGTATAGCAATTAAATACCAAAAACTCATTAACTAAATGTAACAAATATTTACTGAATGCCTATCATATGCCATGTACTTTCCATGTACCTTTCTAGGCACTGGTGATATATGGACGAACAGAATAAACAAAAATCCCTGGTCTCATGGAATTTCAATCCTACTGGAGAAGAAAGGAAAAAACCACAAAAAATCTAGCATGTGAGGTGTCAGGGGGTGTTTACTGCTGTGGAGGGAAAGGGAAATGAGGCTGTGAGAAGAGGAACTGTAGTTTTAGGGAGGGGGGTGAGGCTGCCATTTGAGTCTATGCCAGAAGTACCAGCAGGAGCCCAGAGTCTGGACTCAATGTGTATGGAGGCAGAGGGAGTGATGGACTGTGGCCCATGCTACTGACCAATCAAATATGATGGGAACTGAGCCGTGGAAGCAGCCATACAGGGGCCAAAGGCAACCTCACTGGGAGTGGTCTGGTTAGTATGGTATCCTAGTGCGTTCAAGAGCAAATGGAGGATAAAATGGTGACTGTAAGTATATACAACGTTTCTTCAAAGACATGTGCTGTGCATGGGAGCAGAAAGATGAGGCAAGGGCCAGAGTGAAAAGAAGGATGAAGAAAGGATTTTTTTTTTAAGATGAGAGAATTCACAGCATTGTGTATATACTGATGAGAAAGTAAAGAGGTAAAGTTGATTCTGCAGGAGAAGGAAGAATTTTGTTTTATTGTTTTATTTTCTTAAGTAAGGGCCTGAACTCACAACCCTGAGATTGAGACTAGAATTGAGATCAAGAGTTGGATGCTTAATAGACTGAGCGGCCCAGGCACCCCCAGAAGCAGGAATTTTTATTTATTTAATTAATTTTTAAAAAGATTTATTTATTTATTCATAAGAGACACACAGAAAGAGAGGCAGAGGGAGAAGCAGGCTCCATGCAGGGAGCCTGATGCGGGACTCGATCCTAGGACTCCAGGATCACGCCCTGGGCTAAAAGCAGGCGCTAAACCGCTGAGCCACCTAGGCATCCTGGAATTTTTATTTTTTAATTATAGTTGGCATACAATATGATATTAGTTATAGGTGCATTATACAGTGATTCAACATTAATGTACTTCACAAAATGCTCACCATAAATGTAGTTACCATCTGTCACCATACAAAGTTATTATAATCTTATTGACTAGATTCCTGGGGTGAACATTACATCACCGTGACTTATCTCTTTTATAACTGGAACACTACCTCTTGATACCCTTCCCCTCCCCCTCTCCCAAGAGCCCTCTGTTTGTTCTCTGTATCAGTCTGCTTCTTTCTTTGTTTTGTGTTTTAGATTTCACATGAGTGAAATTATAAGGTATTTGTCATTCTCTGGTTTATTTCACTTAGCATTATACTCTCTAGGTCCATCCATGTTGTCACAAATGCCAAGATCTCATTCTTTTTAATGGCTGAGTAATATTCCATTGTGTGTGTGTGCATGTGTATACACACATACATATACATATATGCAATATATATATGCATATATACAATATGCTACACATATATATACACACACCACATCATCTTTATTCTAGAATAGGGATCTTTAAATGGAAGGAGATGGGAGTTTGTATACAGGTACACAGAGCTACAGAGTTTATCCATAATAAAAAGAGGAGACAGGGTAGAGTCAATGGGCACCGAGACTACTGGGAGCTCATGGGATTTCTCTTCTGTATTTTCAGTTAATTTTTAACTGAAACATATGCTTAGTTAAAAATAAGTATTCAAAGATTTTATACGAGTTTTATTTGGTGGCATCTAACAGATAAATATAATCACCCATAACATTTGTCCTTTATTGTCTTGAACATAATTTATCACAATTGAATTATATTGTTCGTATTTATTCTTCCTAGATTAGGTAGGTATAATAAATGTGTTTTAAAATGTGATGATTGTATGTTAACTTACTGTCTGGAATGGTAAGTGAGCAAATAGCATAGTTAACTACCATTATAACAATATCTTCTAGGTAGAATGGTTGACTATTAGTTGATATTTCAGGAAAATTTTTTTAAATGAAAATTATAGAAAATACTTTGCTTAACAAACTGAATTCTAATTCCATTCCATAAAGGCTTTCTGATACTATATTAGAAAGAACATAGTAGAGTCAAACTGAATGTATTCTTTTTTTTTTTTTTTAAAACTGAATGTATTCTTAACTGGGAATTTATTCTTTTTCCATAACTGCCTTCAAAACCGAGCTCAAAAAGGCACATTCTCCCCAAAAAGCTTTCCTGATTAGACCAATCTATCTCATTCACTCATTTACTCACTGTCCTCTCAATGCCAATTTTCTAAATTTAGAGGCCATTAATTTATATTGACTGAGAGTTTCATTTCAATATTCTTATGTGAGCTTCATGAGCACACAATCTAACTTAGTTTCATTTATATCCTAATTACCATTCCTTTAAAAATAAACAAACCAGCATTTATTACAGTGAACTAATGGGGCACAATGAAAGATTTTTAGCTGCCTAATTCTTCCAGGAAGGATTCTTAAATTGAGTCTGATGCTATCCTATCCCTCAATGATTACTGATTTTTTTTTCCCTCAGTAAAGTCTTAGTACTGTATTTCCAGGTGCCTGCTAAGATTCCCAACAGTCAAAGAAAAAAGGTTTTTCTATAAAATGGAAGTCATTTTTCCAAATCAGAAGTCCACATGTAATATTTTCTCCCTAGTACTATATAGCACTAAATAGGACTCATGTCAGAATTTTCATTTAGAAATGTTTGAAACTGTCTCAGCAATGAACATACCTGATTCCAAACATACAGTGAACATAGTTAAATAAAGCTCTGCGCAGCGTGGTTGTGTCAACATCCTCATGGGCGGCCATAGTGTTATAGGTGAGATTGTAGACCATGCGAAACTTCTCATCAAGAAGATGTCCAATGTCAGAATAAAGTCTGTTCACCAGGGAGAACCCATGATTTTCCCAGGTATAGTCCTAAAAGAATAAATTGTATCCAGTTACAAAATGGGCATTTTCCAGTTAAATTCCATGTTTGTAGTAAATGTAACTACTGAAGCAAGTACAAGAAGATATTTCATATTTAATTCTAAGCTGATAGCTTTACTAGGAACCCTTCACATCAGTTCATAGATCAAAATGCCATGTAAGTTCCCTCAGTGGGGTCCATGGTTTGACATGCTGGTGATGAACTCTGGCCACCTCCTGTTGTCGTGTACTATGCAAACTATACCCTTATCTGGAAGAACCCCAGAAGACCTGAGAATATTCTTATGTGACCAAACCTACTCAGTGACACAGCAGATCATATGAAACAAATACAAAGGAGTCTGTCTTAATTCAAACTTCTACTTTCTTTAGGAGCCACATCACTACTGTCGTTCTGTTTTCTAGGGGTGGGGGTGTGGTAGCACTTAAGCCCATAACTACTGGTCTATGGTTTTATTACAAAATGCCATTTTATTATAAATGTAACTTTATCACTTGATTTCCTCCCTGCTCCTCTAAAAAAAATTGGTATGAATTTTATACAAAATTGGTATACAATTTTATACATGTAATAATGCAAGTAACTGAGTAAGACATTTCCTTTTGCCTTCTTAGAGAGGAAACATTGAAATAAAAATTCATCTCCTGGGAGATCAAATTAGACTAGGCCAAAAACTAGGTTACATCAAAAGATTCACAGACTATCAAAATGACCATTAATTTCTTTAGAAGTCAATGTACTTACATCTCAACATTTCACAGTTAAAATGACAGTATTTATTCTCTAGTTTCTCTGAATTAAAGGCATCCTATACCTGAGCTCGGAATGTTGGCAAATGTTCTTCTCCTCGTCTGGCAAAGTCCTCATACCCAAAACCAGGGTCTTCGATATATCGAGAGACGTCAGATGTTATAATCATGTCATCTTCAAAATCTAAGGACAATAATGAACAATCCAGAATAAAGGAAATTGTGCAGAGAACAATGAAACTACTCCATTGCCCTCCACTTTTTAGCTTTTCCATGGATTTCTGAAGTGACAATATTGACTTCATGGCTTAAGTTTCTAATTTAATTTCATTACCAAATACTGACAATTGTAACATTTACCAGTAGTTGTCTGGGCAAAAACATGACTACACTGAAATATCTAATCAGTAATAGCAAAAAATCAATACACTAGCTTTACTTATTTAGAAAATGAAGATAGCACAGAGCTTTGAATATGTATTTCTATGTATATATATTTATAAATATAAAGCTTAAACTTTTTTTAAACTCTTGTTGGATGAAGTGGGCTGTAGGGAAAGAGAAGAGATGAGAAGAGATGAAGGTGAAAGACCATCTGAAGTCTAACATTAAGACAGATTTTTGTTAAAATTCAATGGTGTTTCATCTGGATGTGTTCATGGTAAAAACTAGTGCAATTTAGTTTTTTTTTTTTTTTTTTTCAATTTAGTTCGTTTTTTAGCTCATGAAGAGGCATTGAGGGAGAAGGCCTGGGAAGGGAACTGGGACAGGGAAGAAAGTGGCCTTCTGGTACCACCATTATTCTGAGTTGACTTGGGCGCTAGAATAGAAAGGGTCAGTTTAAGAAAATTCATTGAGTTTTACACCTAATGTATGTGTGCTTTTCTGTGGACATGGAAATAAAAAGGACATACAATGTATGAGGTAAACAATGTGTTGAGATTGTGATTAGACTATTATAAAAGTGACATTCAGGAAGACAGGAAGACTACAACAATCTTTTAAGACAGCTGACTTCTGTATACTTGATAATATTAAAAATTTACCACTGAACAATGTTAAGTGCCCAATGTATGTTAAATTGTTTAAAGATTATTCGAACTCACTTTTTTTTTTTTTTTTAGGATAGTCTGACTTTATAATTACTTTTTTCTGATTTCAACTACTGGAAGGGAATGAACAACCTTTATTTACTACTTGCTACCTAGAAAATGAACATACTGTTTTCAAAATAAAAAAAAAGCTCCTTCCATGCAAAGAACAGTATTTTCTTAAGTATTTTAATCAATATCAAATAAATGCAACTTAATAAATAACTAATAAAGAAATATTAAATAGTTTCTAAAACAATTTTTTAAAAGATTTTATTTATTTGAAAGACAGAGTGCAAGCAGGAGCGGGGGTGGGGCAGAGGGAGAGACAGAAGCAGATTGCTTTCTGAGCAGGGCTCCATCCCATGACTCTGAGATCATGACCTGAGCCGAAAGCAGACGCTTAACCCACTGAGCCACCCAGGTGACCCAGTTAAGCAACTTGATGGCATAAAAAACTAATTCTTAACTGGACAGTGTTGAGAGGCTTAAAAAAACAATGCAATTATAGTAATTCATCCAAAAGACACAGTAAATTAATTTGCCTTCATTCTCTTTAATCTTTGCTATTTCATGAAAATCCTAACAATAATTATTCTCTTCACAAGGGGTTAGCCTTGCTTTAGGTCACTGCCATGGACTATAATAGAGTGCTTGATAATGGCAGGAAAGGTCAAGTACCCAGGATACCTAAACTTTGGAAATATTAAAATTCTTACCTAACTTCTTTACTATCCATAATGAGAAGAGACTGACATTTGCTGGGTACTTACTATATACCAGTTACTATGTTTTGTACTTAATATCTATTTTTTGTTTCAGTAATGCAAAAAGAAATATCTTCTTAAGAACTAAATTACTAATACCCTGTCAGTCCTGAGTGTCAGTAAGAAATACAATGTGGATCAGTTTAGGGTGGTGTGGAAAACATGTAAACACTGAACTACTTAATTTGATCTGAAGCTTTTAAGTGACTCAGTTTTCTAAAGGGAAATCTTGGGCCTATCTCTAGCTAACCCACAACTACCACGTGTCTCCTCAGGCTGCAGAAGTCCTTTTGAGTAAATGGAAACACTTTGAAAATGGCATTTTCAATGCTTTGTCTCTTCACATTTATGAACGAGGTTATGCTTTCCTTAATTCAATCCATCATATACTCATCGACAGAAATGAAGGAAAAAAATTGAAAATGTAGTTAGTGCTCACTGAGGCTGCTAGGAAAACTAGGAGTTTTGTGGGCTGTGAAGTAAAATCAAACCAAGAACAGTGAGTGATAACTGAAGTCTGCAAAACAGTTTCTCCCCTGATGCGTTCTCACTGCCCACACTGCACAACCAGTTGGTTATACTAGGCAAACACAGACTCTGGGGTTGACGATTACCCAGCTAGTTCATTTGATTTTGATTTGTCCATAAACATTTTCAAGTTGTCATATGACTTTTAAACATTTAAAAATAAACAATAATGAGTAACTAACCAAATGAGACAATTTATCCCATGAATAATAACCATTTATTCATTTTAAAATTAGGAGTCAATCAAGACCTGTCTTCTAGGCAATTTTGTTCACTTAAAGAAATGTACAAAAGTCTCTCAAAGTACAAATATTTTTTTAAATTTTATTTATCCATTTGACAGAGAGAGAGGGCCAGAGAGCACAAGCAGGGGTAGGGGCAGAGGGAGAAGGAGAAGCAGGCTCCCTGCTGAGCCTGACGTGGGCCTTGATCCCAGGACACCAGGATTGTGACCAGAGCTGAAGGCAGACACCCAACCGAATGAGCCACCCAGGTACCCCTACAAATACTTTTTTTCAAATTTATTTTATGAAGTTAAAATTAGCACTCTGATCAACAAATTTAAAATTCCAATTTTAATTATATCTAAAGAAATATTTCAAAGTCTAGACTACAAGGAAATAGTATTTTGCACATTGGCTGCATTCTGCTGCCCCTAATATAATACAGAAAAAAAAAAACTCTATTACAGTGAAGAAATAGCTTTCTAACTTCAAAAACAAAAACAAAAAAAGAATAAAACCTGGTAAACTCTGTTACCAAGGTATAGGATACTACCTCTGTAGAACATTTTAAACATTTATTTTCTTCAAAAGGCTTGAAAAGCTATTTTTAGAATCTCTACATGGAATCTGGAATGCTTTATCACACAGGTCAAACCAAGAAATTCATTATGGAAAAAAATACATTTCTATTTCCATTTCAAAACATGGTAAGGTAAAAAGGACCCAATTAGCTACTGTATGGAGTCATTTTTCTGTTACTTTTGTGGGACTGGCAAATACTGGGAATGGTTAAGAGTAAACAACAAAATGATTTATTTCCTTGACTGATTTACAAATGATACAGCCTCTTCTGTCAAAATTAGAACATAAATTTTTGGCTGGGACCTAAGACTTGCTAGTCAAAATCCACTACTGTAGAAGGCAGGAGTCCCTGCTTAAGAGCCCAAGAAAGTACAGACTGGGGTCCAACATATATTTTCAAGGGGCACCTGGGTGGTTGAGTCAGTTAAGTGTCTGACTCTTGATCTCAGCCCAGGTCTTGATCTCAAGGTTGTGAGTTCAAGCCCCACATTGGGCTCCATGCTGGGTGTGGAGTCTACTTAATAAAAAAACAAAACAAAAGCAGCTCTCAGAAGAGCTTTAATAAAGGAAAAAAATACACACACACACACACACAACAAAAGCAGCTCTCAGAAGAGCTTTAATAAAGGAAAAAATACACACACACACACACACACACACATGTTTTTAAGTATTAAAAAATGACTAAGAGAAATAAAAATATTTATACCCTTCCAGCTCTAGTGATGTTAGAGAAGCTCTTAAAAATTAATGTCTGAAAGCAAATAGATATTACCAACCTTAATAAAAATGTTTACATTTTACAATCTTGGTTTACCTTGAAGGTTCACCCTAGGCTTATGATTTCCCTTTGTCCCATGCGTTCCCTCTGGATGGTTTTTATAAACATCTCTTCTGATTTTAACTCCCAATCATATGCCAATCATTTCCAAATTTTCCTCTTGAGTTTAAAAGCCTCTCCTGACCCTTCAGATCATCTGCTGGGCCCTGGCTACTGTGGTTTGTATCCTGGCAGCACTGACATCACTTGGGGGAATGACAGTAATGTGGTCTCTCAGGTCCTAGACCAGACTGAGTAAATCGGAATCTGCATTTTGGTAAGATTCCCCAGTGACTAGCATGCAATGAAAGTTTAAGGAGCAGTGTACTAGACATCTCCAGGCTGGAGGTTTTACAGATCTCTTAGTTTGAAATGTCCAAAATATGGCAGGATGCATGCTCCTTAAGCTTAGGAAGGTTATCACGGTAAGGCCTCTCTGTTTACCTAACCAGCTTATGTGGTAGCATTACATGCCTCATGGTTTATGCCCCCTTGTGTCTCTGTCCAGCATCATGTTTCCTTATCATGGTGCCATGGCTCTGTTGGTTGTTGACCATCGACTCTCCTGTCCCACAGCCACTGACCGACTCCCTTGCACTCCAGTCTCTAAGACATAGAGTCCAATGGCTGGAGGAAGTCTTCCTCTACGGTCCCTCCTCTGCACACTCTTCCTCTACCCAGACTTGATTCAGGGTCCTCTTCTACGTTCATATACTGCTCACACTCTGCTATGTACAGTGCTGAGACTATAGAAGGTACTCAATAAAATGTTTGTAGGACGGATACTAAGCCAATAAGTAAAACATCAAGTTTCTTTATTTGGGATTTCCTGCTGCTTAGAAGCTCTGAGAAACTAGAACTTAATGTAGTCAATGAAGTGGATAAAATCTTTCATAAAAAAGACCACAGGGGAGATGATAAAAGGGGTTTTTGTTCTTCCTGGTGAAACTTCTGAGAACTACTGGTCAATGCTATGTTTAAAATTAACTAACAAGTTATGGCCTAATCAGTTACCTTTGGAATTTATGAGACTGTCTGGTCTTAAGACTAAACATTTTTTAAACCAATGAAACTCTATTTTTAAAATGTTATGTAGATTGATGACTTTGGAGGGTTTCAGCCTTCTATTGAGTCAATGCTATTTTTTTAAAGATTTATCTGAGAGAAAGAAAGAGGAGTGAGGTACACAGGGAGTGGAAGAGAGAATCTCATGCAGACTCCCTGCTAGGTGCAGAGCCCGATGAGGGGCTTGATCTCATGACCCTGAGATCATGACTTGAGCCGAAACCAAGAATTAGCCGTTCAACGGACAGTGCCACCCAGGTGCCCCGATGCTATTTTAATAAAATTTACTCTGTGGTGTTCGAGATCTTTTTTAGTCATAACTGCAAAGTTGCCTAATTCAAAGTCTCTTAGAGTATTAGAGGGGAAAAAAGTGCATTTTAAGACAAGAGCAAAGATGTCTAGCTTTTAATACAGAATGAATTCCTCCAAATTCAACAGAAGAAAATGACCTAAATAATGCAGTTTTATAAAATGCTGAAGATGTCTCCAAAGAAATGCAAATGCAAGTACAATGTAATTTTAGAAGTAATCTGGAAAAGTAGCAGTGCGAGAACAATCCTCCCACATACTCCCCACATGCAAAAAAAGGCAAAGATATGTGTTTTTTTTTTAATTTATCTACTGAAACAGGATTTCACTCATCATTTCAAAACATCACAAAAGTAGAACGAACTAGGTATCCCTATCTAACATTGTAGGCAACTGTTCTGGCTTTGAATCACATTTTACCCAGGATGAGGGTGGACTACAAAGCTGGAAGTCCCTCGCCAATGGACCTGGAGTGTATTCAAGGATGTATCAATAGCATTAGGGGGAGCTGTAGGAGGAGTAAATAGGAGGAACATGGTAGTAGGCTTGCTTTTATGGATCTGTATGGAAAATATGGATCGTGGTTAATCAGGGATGTAATAACTCAAAGGTAAAGACAGTGGCGGCAGGAGGAGTGGGGGAGCTCACCTGAATGAGGAAATGAATGAAAAGTGTCTCCAGAGACCACAAAAAGACTTTCTTTCTTCTCCTTCTCAAAGCGAGTGGCCATTTCTTCCTGAGATGCCTCTTCATCTTCCCTCTCTCCCTGAAGCCTCTTCATTCTGTCCATTAAGGCCTCTAGCTCACTTAGAGAATCGACAATCTAGGGCCAGGTAAGATAATGTTGGGTGTCAGTTACATTAAGAATTATCCTAGTAAGTGTCCCTACTTTTCCAATGCCACCTTATTATGTACAGTGGGCATAGTTATTTAGTTCCCAGGTGGGTTTTCTATGAACTCCAAAGAAAATCATGACATATTCAAATGTTTTCAGAAGTATGAGTTTTTTTGTTGTAGTTATAAATATATTTAACCTAGAATTCTAGCATTTGGTGTATATTAAATTATAGTTTATTTTATTTTATTTTATTTTTTTAAATATTTTATTTATTTACTCTTGAGAAAGAGAGAGAGAGAGAGAGGGCGGGCCAGAGTCACACAGGCAGAGGGAGAAGCAGGCTCCATGCAGGGGGCCTGACGTGGGACTCGATCCTGGGTCTCCAGGATCACGCCCTGGGCCAAAGGTGTCACTAAACCGCTGAGGCAGCCGAGATGCCCCTATAGTTTATTTTAAACAGTGAGGCAGCCTTATAATTTGTAATAATATCAATTTGCTTTAAAAGCCTCTTTAAGGTAATTCAGAACTTCATATACAAATTAAATTTTTATAGTAGTAAAAGTTGTGCAGTATATGATATCTTGTTTAGTTAGACAAATTCTTTCTAGATATTTTTCATGTTAGGAAGTTTAAAGGCAAAATAGTAAAGAAAAACAAAGTTCAGAAAACTAACCCCAAAGTTGCTGCCTGTAAGGGATGCATTCTCTATATTGTTATCATTAGCGAGATCACAAACACAGAAATTGTTGACTGATATTAGCCTGAATCCATTGGAGATTTCTGGATCCCTCTCTGGATTGATGCCACTACCAAAAACAAAGCTTGCCAAAGCATGATAATGTGCCAGTAGGACCACAGCATGTACCAGTTCGGGCAGAGACCAATTATTTTCTCCAGTTTTGACAAGTTTCTGAAACAAGAAAGCAAAGCAGAGTAAGAATGAAAATCACAGAATGCTACACAGCAATTTTAGAAAGCATGGAAAATCCACCAACTTTTTATGTCCATTTATAGCAATTAAACTTAAAACTCCCTTTTAAAAATGCTTTGTATAACAAAGATACGGCTTTGGTCAAACAATAATTACATTCAACTGTCAAACCTAACAGCATAGTTATGTTATAGATTCTAAATCTCTTATATGTACAATGAAATTTCTGCTTTCAAAGCACTTTTTACATATGTTATTTTAATAAGATATTTCAGAATATCAAAGAACACAGAAGCTAGAAGAGACTTTAAAGATTACCTAGCAAAGCTGCTCATTTTAAGGTTTTTAGGTAAAGACTACATTAAAAGTCACATAAAAATCCAATTCAGTAAGTCAATGTTTAGATAGCTTCCTGATGGAGAAAGAGCCTGTAGCAGATGATAGAAACCGTAGAATACTAAGAACTTCAAAAGTTTCAAAGCACTTTTTTATATGCTATTTTACTTGAACCTCCTGCTGAATGATGGAATCACAAGGGAAGCCATTAAAAACAGTGATGTCTGCATCCTCACTTTCTCCAAGAGCCAATTCCATCTGTCGAATCCATCAGAGATTGTTTCCCATCAGTGTCCTCTCTATCTTGCTTGGTGTACATGTGCGTGTGTGCACGTCCTGCTGCTCCCCACAAATCTACACTTTAATTTGACTCACTTCACAGCCAAACTCCCATGATAAACCTCTTATGCTTTACTCTCCATTAACCACACACACATACACACACACACGAAATTTAATATATCACCAAAAGCTCAGGAAAAAGAAAAGGAAAAATTAATCATATTCTATCACCTTCATATAACTTATACATATTTTATTTTTATAAGCATAATTATATCATCAGAGTAACACATCTATTTTTTCTCTGCTTTTCAAACCTGACATTTTGACATGTTCATTTTTCATGAGGCTACACTGTCTTATATTAAGCATGGACTGTATATTCCATAGCAATGGATGTTACTACTTCTGCATGCTTTCCTTTACTGTTAGATATTCAAATTGCCTCTAAAGTTTTTTTTTTTTTTTTTGCTATTATGAATAGCATCTCCATGCTATAGCTTTGAATAATTCCTAATAGGATTTTTAGGGCAACTATACTTTAAGACTTTTGATAATACTGCCAAAAAGCCTTCCAAAACAACTGGTAGCATTTACAATGCCTCTGTCAGGCTTTCCAAGAGTATTAAACCTGAAAGAATAGACAGTCGATACTCATCTTGAATTTCTCATCTTACCTTCATTTCTGTTTTTTTTTTTTTTTAATTCATTGTAATTTGTTTTCTTTTTTAAAGCAAGCTCCTGAAGCAACTTTCACTAAGGTCACAAAGGACCTCCAAAAGGCCAAATCGAATTATTTCTGTATGCTCCCACTTCTTCCTATCTCCTACCCCCACCTCACATAACCTTCCCTACATTCTGTAACCTGAAGCTGTTAGCTACTTTTCCAACATATAATGTTTCACACTCTATTATTTGTCTGGGATACCCTCCTCTACTTGAAAATTCCCACTTACTCTTCAAGACCTATCTCAGATGTTACCTCTTTCATGCAACTTCCTTATCCCATTCTTTTTACCCATATCTCCATAAACCATTGTGCTGTGCTTATTGTCATTACCTCTCTTTCTTTCTTCCCCTAGAATCCAAGCCTGTTCAAGGGCAGGGTCTATCTTTTTAGACCCACCACAGAAGTAATTAACATACGACATAAAAATAATGATTAATTCTTCCATCTAAGTAACACAGTGTCAAATCAGAATGTAAACCTCAGGGCAGCATTACGTTTCACAGATTCCCAGGTACTCAATCTCTGAGAGTACAAAGACTTAAAAAAAGCTCAGTTTGGTTTAATTGAGCAAATAATGAACAAAAATGTAGCCTAAGAAGAGGATCAACAAAACAAATGACATTTCTGCTCATCAGAAGCAGGGAATTTAAATACCTCAGGCTTCTCTGATAATAATTTAGATGACAGCTGTTATGTATTGAGTAGTTACCAAGCCCAAGCACCATGCCAAGGATATCCTACAAACGGCCCCACCCTTTCCACCTGCAAGTGTTCTAGTCACCAGCAACTCTGTTTCTCCTGAGTTGGAAGAGTTCATTTTTCTTTCTTTTGGAAAGAATGGAAAGAAGCTCCTTTTGGAAAGAATGGAAAGAAGCTCCTTTCCACCTGCAAGTGTTCTAGTCACCAGCAACTCTGTTTCTCATCTAAGCCCCAGCTTCCAGAGGCACTTAAGTGTTCACTCCAGTTAGCAAGTCACTTTTTATTTGCAAAATTGTAATTTCCAAATCTTAAAATTATGAAATGTTAGAACTACAAAAGAGCCTGGAACTCATTTAATCAAGGCCCCTCATTTCATAGAGGGGAAACCTCCAGAGGCTGGGAGAAGTTAATTCACTCAAGGTCACAAGTGCGAGAACCCAGGTAGCCTATCGTGCCAGTTTTCCTTTGTTCTACCTCTTGCTTAAAAACAGAAATCAACATTTCTCATGAAAGCAGTTAATTATTGATTACCTGAAGAGGAATATTCTATTTGTACCTAGATTAAACCACAGACTTTCTATATTTCTCTCTTCTACATGTTGATATCTTATTTTTTGTTTCTAACATGCAAGTATTTAAAATTAAGTCTTAAGCAAAAAAAAAAAAGAAAGAAAAGAAAAAAAGAAAAATGAACTCTTAGCTAGAATCAATAGTAAATTTCTTTTTTATTTTAAAACAGCACTCAGTACCTGAATGTGCTCTTTCGTGATCAGCCAGGGTCGGTGTGCTAGCAGCTTGTTTATTTCATTAAGATTTTTCAGTCTTTGCGGTACATATTCCAAACCATTCAACCACTCAGCAATACCTCCGGTCTTCAAAAATTCATCCACATGCATGTTTATTAGGTAGGAACACTGATGTCTAGCCGCAGCCTAAAACACAAGAAGAGTCAGTTGATACAATAATCGTGGTTGTTAAAATAATAATAATAATCGTGGTTGTTATTCTACTATTTCTAAACAAACAGTAATTCATTTGGAGTTTAATAGTTTTAATAACCAATAATTCTTTTTTTTAATAACCAATAATTCTTTTCTTACAGATTGCTTCTCCTGCTAAAACTTCTATCACAATATGTCACAGATTCTTTTTTTTTTTTTTTAAGACTTTATTTATTCATGAGAGACACAGAGAGAGAGGTGCAGAGACCCAGTCAGAGGGAGAAGCAGGCTCCATGCAGGGAACCCGATGCAGGACTTGATCCCAGATCCCAGGGTTGCACCCTGAGCTGAAGGAAGACACTCAACTGCTGAGCCACCCAGGTGTCCCTATGCCACAGATTCTTGAATCAATACTTGTAGCTGATAGTTGTATTAAGTGAACAGCTGTCACATGTAGATAGTTACGTCCTTAGCCAGAAGAGGGAATGGATTAACCTAGAATCTACTTTCTAGTTGTGTCAAGAACATACATGATTTCATGATGGTAAATGATATCAACTATGTTCTATTTAAAACACAATAAAATCTCACTAATCTATATTCTACTGATTCATAACGCATGCTATTTTGGGTGCTCCTCTTACCCCCTTTAAGATAACAGTGATTTTGGTCTTACTGGAAACATCGCCCTACTAGGACAGGCTCCATGACACCTTTCTTCCTGTGCAATCAAAACCAGCCTTAACACCGCTGGTTTTGGGAAATCCGTTCAAAGCAGGCTTTTCACCACTCCTTTCCCTAGGACTGCTTCTCAGGAAAATAATACCATCTACTGATTCTGTTTTCTGTATCTTGCTTATCTTCTTAGTTTGCGATCATTGCAAGTCTGCCTTCGGCCTTACTGTCGTCAAAATTGTAAGCTGGAATACAGTCTTGGTCATGTTTGTCGGCTGATAGGACATAGGGTGCTGCCCTTTTCTTGTTGTTGTTAAAACTTTGGTTAAGAGTATAAACAAGATCATCAAATTAAACCTGGGAAAAATTAATCTGCTAACTGCAGGCTAGCTCTACCAGTCCAGCTTTTCTCCTAAACTTTCCCAACAACAGGGCACTTGGGCCAGATCCTTCTTTTTCTCTGGAAATGATCCACCCCTGAAACTGCTCCTTTCTAACCTTCTCATCCCAATTTATAATTCTCTCCCCACCCCCACCAAGACATTAGCTAGTTAACTAGTTTGCACCAAGTTCTATATACTTTGCAGGGTTAGAACTCATTGGAGAAATTTTCTCCATTGGTGCTGATGGATACTTTCCTCTTATCTGGCCAGATTAGTGATATTCTTCATGTGTAAAATGAGTAAATTAGATGTCACCGCCAAACCATTTTATGTTAGCTATACAAAACAAAGTATCAAGAGCAAAAATAAAACTTGTGGGATGCTAGGGATATCTTAGACATTACAAACATCATTAATTATAAGAGAGTAAGTTGAAAATTCAAGGGGAAACATTCAGTGCATTGAGATGCCTAGAATATTCGACATGTATCCAAGACCCATGATATCCAAAAGGTTACAGGCTTCATCAGTTCTTACTTCTAGAAAATTCTACCTCGCTCTACACACACCAACACACAAAGACTGGTAGGAGTAAGGGCGACTCAGGCGAAGTGGGGCAAGCGGGAAGCAGGCGCACCATTATTGCAATGTAGTGCCTGTGTGGTAGAGGAAGGGGGCCGTCCATGCGCAGCATGTAGAACTGGCTCCGCAGGAACGACTCCAGGTACTGAGTGTGGAGACTCATGACCTGGGTGATGTTGTCCAGACGACCGGATGTAGAGTATTCTTCCACAAGAAAGTTAGTACGTTCATCCACTGTGTTTGCTTGGACAACCTTACAAGCGAAGACACACAAAGTGATCATTGAGAAGTCATGGCTTTTTTGTTTACATACATTATGCCACTCTTGAGGCAAATGAATGTTCTTTTGATACGAACAGACACTGAGATTAGGCAGTTGCTCATACCAGAAATAAAAAAGAAAGCACCACTCATTTTTGGCTCTGGGACCACAATTTATTAAACAACAAATGTCAAATCATCAAACATGCAACTATGAAATTGGAGAAAAGCAGCTTCCATCTGCTGCGCCAGGCACATAAGGCAAAATTTTCAGGGCCCACTTGCCTGGCCTATTATTATACCAATTTGTGCAGCAGCAAAAGCGGTGGCATTTGATTCCTATAGTTAGGATTGTATCTCAACTGCCTGTGAAGATACTTAATCACCTTCTTTTAAGACAGATATTTTCAGCCTGATCTTTCGCTTATTTTATTTCAACATAAAATGAAAAGCTCCCGAAGTCTTTTGAGGGACAAAAAAAAAAAAAAAAGAAAATATGATAATATGTAGGAAAATGTTAATTGAAAAATTAATAAGGGCACTAGAATATTGTCATTCCTATTTTTAGTCTATTGTATTAATTACTAAAAACAAGGTTAGTGATTAAAATGGACATCCTCCATCTTAGGGAATCAAAAGTGCTTCCTCAAAAATAGATTCTTATATATAGCCTTATACACAATGACAGCTTGGGCATCACACCAAGAATTGGCTCTGAAGGTGTTAAGAGCTTATTAGCACCTTGTAAAAGGACCTGGCTCTGTGGGAATTAATGGACATGAGATGAATATTTCTAGGATTGGTTCATTATTTATTGATAGTTTAGAATTAGAATTCTGGACTTAAGAATACATTCCTTATTTCAGATTCAAAATTAAATTCGAGCTCATGCTCCGAGTTGATGGCAAAGCCTGGTCCAGAATCCAGATTTTCTAAAGTCCAGACTAATGGTCTTTCCAAAGATCCATACTGCTATTAGAAACTCTGTTTACTCTTTAAGGCTGGCTTCACAGTCTCTTCTGAAAAATAAGTACAAATTACACAAAGGCACTATTGACTGAGGAAAATCTAATCCCAAAGGAAATAGAATGTTTGGAAAGTGTGAACTGTGAGGAAATGTTAATTACAATGGCGTCAAAAAGCAATTTCAGTTCAGCTGGTTATAAAGCCAAGTGCACTTTCATTTGCCCATTTCCCCCCATTTTGTCAACTACAGGGACCAAGTGATGGTAAAAACAATAAGGTACAGATCAACCACATGTAATTAAACGCAGAATATTTGTTGGTTTTGTTTTGTTTTCCCCAGCAGTTTCTTTTGTTTAACTGATGCCAGAGATTGTTAATGGATGCAAGAGGTCCTGAAAACAGTGGTGGCTCCTGCAAATCAGCTTACCTTCAAATATATACTGTGAAAATGACTGTGTTTTAGGAAGTCTTTATGTATCTGAGGTAATCTCTCGGCCAACAGTGGCCCCAATGCTGTAGGGAGAAATGGGCACAAATGCAACCATGTCTCTAATGACTGGTGGCCACCTAGATCAGCTAGAGATACTGAGTTCCCAAAACATTACTGTTAACCTTCCTTCCACCTTTCCATCCAGATGGTAAGGTCACTCATAAAGTGAAATAAAGATAAACTACTGACTCTGCCCATGACCTGGCATGTATTCTTTGAATTCTCTTCATCCCTTCTTTTAAGACAATGCCTGGCAGGTGCTCTGTACATTTATTGACTACTTTCAGAACAATATAGGAATAATGCTGGTGCTTTAAGATAAATGTCTTCACAGTAAATAGTGAAATCAGTATATACCATTGTATTCAGTAAGTTAGTAACTCCTTCTAGCAGAGAAAAACTCAATTTAGTGGTTCTTAAGCTTCTCTTAACCAAAGCATATACCTGAGAGGCATCGAGGAATCAAGGAAATCCCGCACATTGCTGTCACCTTTCATAAAGATGTACACCCACAAAATGGGCACAACTCTTCTACTGATTAGAATTTCTTTTGCATTGTATTTTATGACCTCTCTTTCTTGCAGTTACTGTTTTGACTTCCCACTCTCACCAAAGGTACAGATTATACAGATTGCATTGACATTCTGCCCAAGAGACTAAGAACCAATCAACCAAACAACTACTAACGATGTCATGGCATGTTTTGCTTAATAGGTTTAGTTGGGAAACTCCCTTTTTCATTTCAAAATATAGTTTCTTAATATATTAAATCACCATGAAACAGTGGCCATTTAAAAACCTAAAACCTTCAGGTTGATATTAAACTTTATTTAAAAGAACTTTATTACTATTAGCAGCTTTGTTCAGAAAAATTGTGTTTGAAATCAAAAATGGTAAAATTTACATTTTTCTAGCCTTATAGTACAACTAACTCTAAAATAAGAAGGCAGATTATTAAACACACAAACTTTTAAGTGAAGTTCAAAAGAAAATATCTCTATGTTCTGACATATAAATAAGGAACAAGAGCAAAACATAGGTTTACTTCCATATTAAAAATGGAGATATTCTTTGATACAATTAAGTCACTTTTTTGTATAACACGTAATATATTTTAACACAGATAAACTTACTTCCTTCTCTGGAATAAAGGCACTTGGTCCTCTTGTCAAAGGTTGAGATACTCGGATTCTTTTATCCTATTTTTAAAAGAAAGGTTTTGTGTTAATGGTGACCTTCTAAGAAAAGTTAAATTGGTACAAATTTATTGCTGAGGTACTAAGACAAACTGAATAAACAGAACTTTGTAAAATCAAAATAAGGGACCAGTCTCAGATCACAAAAATCCATAGGGCTAATGAGGTAATGGGGCAAGTTCCTCAAAAAGTTAAAAACAGAACTATCTTATGATCCAGCAATTGCACTAGTGGGTATTTACCCAAAGAATACAAGAACACTAATCCAAAGGGGTACATGCACCCCTATTTTTATAGCAGCATACATACATATAGCAGATACAGAAGCAGCCCAAGTGTCCATCAATTGATAAGTGGATCAAGATAATGTGGTATGTACATACAATGGAATATTAGCCACAAAAAATAATGAAAATCTTGCCATTTGCCATAACATGGATGGAGCTAGATAGTAAAATGCTAAGCAAATTAGGTCACTCAGAGAAGACAGATACCCTATGATTTTACTTCTACGTCGAATTTAAGAAACAAAGCAAACATGCAAAGGAAAAAAAATGGGAGAGACAGAGAGAGAAATAAAGAAACAGACTCTTAACTAGAGAGAAAAAACTGATTACTACCAGTGGGGAGGTGGGCAGAGGGATGGGTGACATCGTGATGGATAAGGAGTGCACTTGTGATGAACATCATGTGACATACGAAGTGCTGAATCACTATATTGTATGCTTGAAACTAATATAACACTTGTGTGTGTGTGTGTGTATACACTATATAACCAGTTAGCACATTAACTGAAATTAAAATAAAAACTTAAAAAAAAAAAAGATAATGGGGTAATAACCTCCTCCTCCAGTGGTGGATACACAATGCACTTCCAAATTTCATTTCCCTCAGTCATATTCCACAGCACCAGAGATTTTTAGCTCATATTTGACAAGACTAAAAACTTTCGATCTCCATAATAAAATCATATCTAATAGTACAATAGTGCACTAACAGTGCTCAATCTGAAAGCTCCAGGAAAGGTTGAATTCAGAGGATTACACACAACTCACTAAAGTGATGACCTGACCTGTGGGGTTTTTTCCTGAACAAAATAGGAATAAACATATCTAATATAAAGTTTTGAAGCTTTAAGTAAGAAAACTGTACAAGCTGGAGAAATAGAGGTTAACTTAATGTAAGAAATGGAGAATATAGCAATGTTTATTGTTCTACTTGCTACTCTATTTAAGTGGTAGATCACTAATGGCATGTTTGAGTATTAGATTTTTTTTGAAGTTTTTAATTTTTTTGTTAAATTTTTTTAATTAAAAATATTTTGGTTATCCCCATTTAAGTGTAATATCTATAATGTCGCATCAGTAGAGAAGATATTTGCAAATCAGATACCTGATAAGGGGTTAATATCCAAAATATATAAAGAACTCATATAACTCAAAAGAAAAAAAAAACTCAATTTAAAAAAATGGGCAGAGGATCTGAATAGACTTTTTTTCAGAGAAGACGTTCAGATGGCCAAGAAACACATGACAAGATACTCAACATCCCTCATCATCAGGGAAATGCAAATCAAAACCACAATGAGGTATTACCTCACACCTGTCAGAATGGCTAAACTCAAGAACACAAAAAACAAGTGTTAACAAGGAAGTAGAGAGAAAGGAATTCTCATGCATTGTTAGAGGGATGCAAACTGGTGTAGACACTGTGAAAGACGGTATGGAGGGTCGGCAAAAAATTAAAATTAGAATTACTCTATGATCTAACCATTCTACTTCTGGGTATTTTTCTGAAGAAAAGGAAAACATTACTTTGAAAAAATACATACACTCCTATGTTTATTGCAGCATTATTTATAATAATCAAGATATGGAAATAGATTCTAAGTGTTCATGAATAGATGAATGGCTAAAGAAAACATGGTATACTATATACATAAATGGATTACTTCTCAGCCATAAGATAGAAATCTTTCCATTTGTGACAACACGGACAGACCTTGAGGATATTATGCTAAGTGACCTAAGTTAGACAGAAAAAGATAAACACTGTAGATTTCACTTACATGTGGAATCCAAATGATAAAACAGATGAACACACAAAACCAAACCAAACTCTGAGATAGTGAAAATAGACTGGTGTTTGCTAGAGGCAGAAGGGTGGAGAGGTGGGCAAGCTAGTGAAGGGGATTAAAGAGGTACTAACTTTCAGTTATAAGATAAGTCACAGGATTATGATGTACAGCATGGTGACTACAGTCAATAATATTGTATAGCAAATTTCAAAGTTGCCAAGAAAGTAAATCTTAAAAGTTCTCATCACAAGACCAAAACAATGTGTGAGTGTACATAGTGACAGATGGTAATTAGACTTATGGTGGTAATAATTCGGCAATGTATACAAATGTTGAATCATTGTGTTGTACACCTGAAACTCACATAATGTATGGCAATTATACTTCAATAAAAACAAAACAGAGACTATGCCTTGGTTTACAAAGATTATAAAGAATGCTTGGAAGACTGAAGAGCATGAGAACAGAGGTCTATTGGGAAAGTAGTATGTTAAGCTTTAGGTGTCACCAAGCCCTCCTCAGGAAACTTCTAAAGCGAGGAAGTGACTCTAAAATGGTTCCTTATCCAAAATGGGCAATATCTACTTCACATGACCTTGTTTCCGGCCATAGCAGACTAGACCAACCAGCACAGAAGCTTATCTGCAACCTATGGGTGCCCTGATGCAAAAGTTCTGCCCAAACACAACTGAGGGTAATTCACTGGACCATTTAAGATTCTAGAGTTAGGGACATCTGGGTGGCTCAGTAGTTTGAGCGTCTGCCTTTGGCTCAGGTTGTGATCCCAGGGTCCTGGGATCGAGTACGGCGTCAGGCTCCCCTGAGGGAGCCTGCTTCTTCCTCTGCTTATTTCTCTGCCTCTCTTTCTATGTCTCTTGTGAATAAATAAATAAAATCTTTAAAAAAGGAAAAGATTCTAGAGTTACTACAGGTGTATGAAACCAATGCACTCTGATAAAGAGAAGAGCAACAACATAGCACTCAGAAGGCAGAGGCCGAGGGGATCCCTGGGTGGCGCAGCGGTTTGGCGCCTGCCTTTGGCCCAGGGCCCAATCCTGGAGACCCAGGATCGAGTCCCACATCAGGCTCCCTCTGCCTGTGTCTCTGCCTCTCTCTCTCTCTCTGTGTGACTATCATAAATAAATAAAAATTAAAAAAAAAAAGAAGGCAGAGGCAGAGAACACAGTAAAGCAGCATTAGAAAAGGCAACAATAGATAACTGCTTCTAAGGGCAAAAGCACCAGTGTTTTTAGGGAGTCCCTAGAGGAAGTCAAGTCTAATCATGGGCTCTCCTATGTCTTTTCCTCTTTTCCATCCTTCACTCCTCTCTCTAGAAGGTAACCAGAATCCTTTTTGTTCCTTAAAATCAAAGAGCCTACCAAACACAAAACAGTTATTCCAATCCCTTATTTCAACAAGCAGCAGTTACAAAACAAACTGACAAAAGTAGGCAGGCAGCTAAGGCACACTCAATGATTTTTTTTTTTTTTTGAGAACCTGATCACCCCTGATAGACTCAGGGGGTACAGGGCAAGCAAAACAGAAAGGGTCCCTGCCCTCATGAGCATGGCACATAGTCTCCATCAATTTTCAGAATTCTATCAGAATAAATATATTGAATAAAGATCATCTAAACCTGCTCAAGTGTCAGAAAGAACTAGGCATTTAGGTTGTATTTATAAAGGGAGGCCACATACATCTTTAGCCTACTGGTCAAATATACTAGAAGACTCTATGTAAAAAGGAGTAATTTAGAATTTCTAATATCGGCATTTCCTGTCTACATCAACTACAATCTAGTTTAACCCAGAAAAAAAATTTAGAAGAAAATAATAGATTTCTTCCTCTGCTACCTCTGTGAGTTATAGAAAACAAAATTTTATTTATTTTTATTTTTTTATTTATGATAGTCACACACACACACACACACAGAGAGAGAGAGAGAGAGAGAGAGAGGCAGAGACACAGGCAGAGGGAGAAGCAGGCTCCATGCATCGGGAGCCCGACGTGGGATTCGATCCCAGGTCTCCAGGATCGCGCCCTGGGCCAAAGGCAGGCACCAAACCGCTGCGCCACCCAGGGATCCCAAAACAAAATTTTAAATACTCTCTATATGATATAGCCTAATGCAGTCATATGTGAAAAGCAATTTCCTTGATGATGAATCGTTTCGAATGAATAAAGTAGTTAAGAGAAACTGATTGTGAGGACCTATCACAGGTTTGAGGAGGAAAATGCCAATAGGAAGATAAGTGAAGGTTTTTATTTATATTTATAAAAATATGCGTAAAATGGAGAGAAAATACAGGGAGCAAAAAACTGAAGGTGTACGAAGGGGCTTTGGGAGACAAAGAATGATGCATTAGTAATATGATTTGTTTATAAAAATCACTATTTGATACATTTATCAATTGAATACATCTTTACATGCTTGAAATTATTATTTTGCCTACAAAAATATTTTCTGGAACAGATGTTTAAATCTGAAATACGTCTTCATTACAAATGGAACTGTGCTGCTGTACTTAAAGAACATAATATCTCTCTTCGTTTTGACCAATTGATAAGAAGCAACAGAAACTCAATTTAATTTGTGTCGACATTCATTTGGTCATTTAGTCAGCAATAATTCATGGGGTATTTACAACATGCTGGATACAAATAAGGACTAGCCTGGCAGAAATGCATGCAACCAACCAACCATTCGGCCTCTGACATACTTCAGAGCAGATACATACACTAGGTGATGTGGGAAGACATCATTTTAACTATTGCCACTTAGTCATTCCTCTTTCGTTGAACATTAAAGTTATGTCCAGTTTTTATTATTATAAATAATGCTGAGTATCTTTGTACAAAGAGATTTTGTACAAAGGGCAGGCTTTACAGTGTTTAGGATAGATTCTTTAGGAATCCTAGATGTGGA